CGAATAGGTTGACTTGGGACATTTTTTTCGTGGTTTTTGTATTAGACCCGTCGTCCATTTATTTGTAAGTCAATGTCTTTATTACAATAAATACAGAATGTTTTTGGAATATACGGAGACGTACACAGTTGCTGGCGCTGTACTATTTCAGCTTCCTAATTTGTGATTTCAGCGCAAACGAGAGTTGATATATAAAAGTGATATAAGGCCCATTTGCCTGATGAGTTGCTAGGGATGGATGACCCTTATTTCGTCTCTATTTCTGGTTATAAGTCGATTAAACCCTTTTGATTGATGGTTCACATTGAACAAATTTTAGTAGCAGTAGAGGTCTTTGTGAACGAGTTCATCCAGGGAAGTACAGCTACCATACCTATTTCTGCCACCAAGCAGTAATGTCAGCACTACTGTGTTCCGGTTTTGAAGGGTAACGGTGCTGGTGAAATTATAGGCACATGGTACTTGTCAATTTATGTCTCAGGGTGATGGGCGCAGTGTCAATGCCTCTCTTTGACATTAAAGGCTACTGTTATGGACAGGCGTGTAGCTGACCTTCAGGCGCACGACTTGTTCGTCCCGTTACTTAATATTATTTTTAAATAAACCATACTTGTCATTCGTAAGGCAGATTCTGCTGTGGTAAGGACTGCTCTTTGCAAATAAACGTTTGTCTACATTTATAATGTCTATTTAAATTCTTCTTAACATTAATTACATTATTGTAAATGTACCGCGACGCTGGTGTAACAACGATAATTTCCTTTAACTTTTCTTTCAAAGACACTCTGGGGCTCAGATTGTAAATTGATGTATAGTCCATTCCAATCCATTTGAAATGAAATGTAAACTAAACGACTTGGTTGATTGTCTAAATTAATCACTTACTAAATCGAACAAGTAACATTGTAACGTTTATTTCGAAGACTTTGATATCTCATCACTTTTTCCAACAATATTCATTTTTTTTTAATTTATTAAGGCTTTGGCAAAGCTATCAGCCTAAACATGAAGTTTAATTATGTTTCTGTAAATATGGCCGCCACAAAGAGGATAGGCAATTTGAGGCGGCGTGTTTGGATTGACTCGGGATTCCTTAAAACGGGCCGATAAGGGTATTTTAGTTCGAGATTCGTATAATTTCGCGTTTTAATCTTCGATTAAGGCACAATAGCACTATCCTATTCCACTTTAAACTAGATTTCACAAAATAATTGAAAGTCAAAATAAAAACGACACTTTTCCCTCCAAAAGGTCGAGAGCGAATCAACCAATATTCATTTGAATAACACCATAAATCGTATTTGAAAAATGGTAGTCAAATAGTGAGGTTATTTTTTAATTAAAGGTGTATGAGTCTATGGTTGCATAGTGCTGTACGGAAAAAAAAACATTCAGTTCATTCAATTAAACTTTTTGTAATCCTTTAGTAAATCGAAAATTTCAATCGCAATATTCGCAATCGAGCGATTATATGAGTGTAAGGATTTGAAACATGATTTAAAATTAAGATTTCGGAAACTTTAAATATTTTTTTTTTATAAAGATAAATTTATTTCAATATAACTTAATCTAAATATAAATGAAAAAACAAAAACAAATGTAAGGGAAGTTAATATGCAATTGGTAAAAAAAATAAAAAATAAACCTTAATTATTATACTAATCATAAAGCTATACAATTAATTATTAGAAGCCTACCAGTACAGTTGCGATGCCTAAACTAAGTACATTATTACCTGTATCTTAAGCATCTTGTTTGTGCACAGATTCATTATATTAGTGCTTAAAAACTAAATAGCTATATTTAATTAAGAATAAAACAATTAGCTGTTACAATATAATTACGAAATAACTTCTAGTAAACCTTCTGTTTCATCATAGTTTTTATTTTTAAGCCAGCGTTTGGCGGTCTTTTTACATCCCATCTTATTCCAGGCATGAAAATGCAATGTTGAATTTAATTTGTAGTAAAGTAATGTGCCAAGGAAGCAGAAGAATCTATGAGAGTGTGATGTGCGAAGTTGTTCACGAGAAGAGAAGGTATTGAGTCGTCTTTGGCAGGATGAGGACTTAGACTCAAATGGAGTGATTGAGTGTTTTTTCAAAATATTTGCAAGATAAACATCTGCCGCACAGAAAGGACATCGCACTCGGCTAGGAGTTTGTGGTTAGGGTAGAAGAAAGGACGGAAGTTGCTGACTTTGAGAATAGCTCTCTGCGCCTTTTCTAGGTTTAACAGAGTTGTTTTATGTGCGCCGCCCCATGAAGTAATGCAGTAAAGTAGCAATGATTGACAGAGGGCCAAGTATACTGATTTGAGTAATTCACCGCTAGCCGCATGTCTTAAATTTTTAAAAACATATATTAATTTTCGAAATCTAGCAGTAAGCGCAACAACATGCTGTTTGAAATTGAGATGTTGATCGATTATGACACCTAAATATTTAATATTGACTGTGCTGTCCAAGTTTGGGCAACCACTGCCGCAAACTTGAGTCCTTGGACTGGGACAATGATGAGCTACTATTGAGAAAGTATTCTCGACAGGTTGAGAGAGGATGTTGTATGAGAATGTCATATATTTGGTTTTGTCAGTATTAAGTGTAAGTGCATTTACTCTGAGCCACTCGGTTACCGAGTTAAAACCAAATTGGGCTTGTGTGAATACGTCATTCCAACTTGAGGCACTGAAAAGTAGGACTGTATCATCGGCGTAGGATATGATCTTACCGCTAGAGAGGGGAAGAGTGCATAGTTGGTTAATATAGACAAGAAATAAGATCGATCCTAATATGCTTCCTTGGGGAACACCGTATTCAATAGGCAATTCATCACTCGTAATTTTGTCAATCGTCACTCGCTGTTTTCTGTCAGAAAGGTAGTCCTGTAAAAGTTTGTGTTGAATTCCTCTAATTCCCAGTGCTTCTAATTTGTTTAAGAGAATTGGGATGGTTACGGTATCAAAAGCTTTTGCCAGGTCTAGAAAAATAGCCAAACACTTATTCTTAGAGTCTAGATTCCTTACAATGTAATCAGTCAGTTCGTCAACTGCGTCGTTTGTTGATAGTCCTGGTCTAAACCCGAATTGGGAGGTCGATAGGAGTTTCTTATTTTCTAAGTAATGTACAAGCCTTTTGTGAATTATTCTTTCAAGTATTTTAGAAAGAGATGGCAATATAGCAATTGGGCGATAATTGTTAACATTTATGTTTCTATTGTAAGGAAAACCGCTAGTATAACCCAATGAAATAAATGGATTCATTCTATTAATTGATTGATTTGTAGTTAGCAGTAAAATTGGCCATCTCTTGTTTGTTTACTTTTTGTTTAAAATGGATTGAAACGAAATATAATAGAAAATTTTTACAGGAGAACTGTTATGTATTAATTGGCGACATTACCGCAAAGCAAAATGAAAAGCAAAAAAATGAAGATGCTGCGCTGGATGTGTGGAGTTTCACGGAAAGACCGTTTCAGAAACTCACGCATCTGCGGCAGCCTTCACGTCCGTGACATTGCAGATAAACTGCAAGAAAGCCGCCTACGTTGGTACGGCCACATCTTACGGAAACCGGCATGCTACGTGGCAAACAAATGTCTGGCTATGCCACCTCCGCCGGGCCCCGGTAGAAGGGGCAGACCCAAGAAGTGCTGGCTTGACGTCGCCAAGGGTGATATGCGTGCCAATGGTCTCACCACTAAGGATACCGAAGACCGTGCAAAGTGGAGGAGAAAAAGCAGGAAAGCGGACCCCGGGCTCCGCAGCAACACTGCTGAGGACGCAACCGGGACAACGCTCAGATGAGAGAGAGATTACCGCAAAGCAAAATGCGGTATGTAATTAAACTATGAAAGCGGTTAAAGTAAACCAATCTAGCGGTTTCAGCACTTAGAGAACTTGTTTATGAAGAAACTTTAATGAGTTTCCGTGAGTGAGAAGAAACTAATTCTTAGCATAAATAACAAAACCAAATTATAGGTGTATTCTCTCAAATATATTTAGATAAATATTATGATAATAAAGAACATCATGACATTAAATAATAAATAGTTATTTATTATGCAATTAAAAATAGATTCCTGAGCGTAGCGAGGGTTTCAAGGCACGAGACGCAAAACAACTTTGCTGCCGAGCGAAACACACAACTTCTCATCTCACTACAGCGACGAAAATGGTAGATGAAAGAAAAACAATTGAACTATAAAATATTCGCTTTTTAAATTAAAAGAAAAAGTTTTGAATTTACACCTCATCAATTATTCTTGCTTGTACTTCTATTTTGTGTAATTAAGTGATTAAAAATGAAATTGAAATTATTTTAGTTCTTCGACGAATTAAAATAATTTAATATACACAATTAGTTCTCATTGTCAATTTAATGTCAATATTATTAAGAATAAAATGTACCAACGGATTTATATTACATAAATAATTAATGTACGACAAATTGCGTAGTTAAACGTGTCATTATCTTTTTTTTTCACCGAAAGAAAAAGTTAGATGCACCACAGTCCATCGTCAAGTTCGAATTTCAAAAACCTTTTCCACGCTTGCGTGCAAAAAATGCTTTTGCGTGCAGATTTCTAATGAGAAAGAAAGCCTTTCCGAGGCAGAGAGGTGAAACATAAATAGGTTAGGCCACTGTGAGAGAGCGGAATCTGTACCAAGTAGGGTTGTCACACTTCACTCCGAACCCCTGACTTTGATATATAAGAGATGTAATGGGTAATTTGATTTTTCTTATCGTATGATCGTGGTGAAAGGCTTTGCCAATCGGCGTAAAGTACGTCGATTGTTGCCGCACGTTCGTGCGCCCCAAATTTAATAATAATATATATGTGGGAAAGAGTTATCAATTCAAACGTAATGTAACAGAATTTGGTTTAGTATACGCGAATACTGGAATACTGGAATACGCGAGCTTTCTCGCGACTGCGGCTATAGTATTTCGTCGATGTGTGAAATCACATTACGCCTGCCTTCGCGCCACTTCCCGCATAATGGCCACGTGCCGCCGACGGCAGCCGTGGAATTCTCGTGAATGCGCGAGAATTCAGCGGAAGATGCGCGACTTGATTTTTGGCTCGTATCTAATTTGTACGTTGCACAATTGATCATAAAGTTCTTTACGCTATGTACAATATCGCTTCAAAAATTTGCTTCCATTCCGTTTCGCCGCAATTTAAATTGAACCTTATTGTGTACGTAATGTGGTTTACTAAGGAATAGATCTTAGCTGCTTAGCTTGTATTATGTTTTCTGATTATTAGAGAAACCATTTATTTACAAGGCTGTATAAAATTGTATCCAAAAAATGAATCGGCTGTCTGGGAAACGCATTAGCATAGCCATATAAAGATGGAACGATGCCAGCATCTTGGTCTCTTTGCCGCGGTGATCCAATTTTATTCATATAATTAAATCCTAGTTTTAGCTTCTAGTATTTAAGCTTTTATTGTATCTTACCTGTATATTTTAACTTAATGTGTAATAAATATATATTAACAATAACTAGCCTTTGTACGAATCATATTAACTAGTCTCTATCATGGTTTCTTTGTTAACAAATGTTACGTCTGTTTGACAGCTCAAATTGGGCAGGTCATTGAATCAAAACATTGAATCCATGGCCAAAAATGCAGCCAGGAGGCTCGGCATCCTTTCCAGGGTGAGGCGTTACTTCACACAGGGACAGTTGCTTCAGCTGTATCAAGCACAAATTCGGTCGTGTAAGGAGTATTGCTGCCACCTTTGGGATGGCTCTGCTACATATCAACTGCCCACCTTGGATTCAATTGACAAGCGCGCCAAGAGGCTTACAGGTGACTCGGAATTAGTAGAGGCAAAACTGCAGAGCCTTGAACACTGCCGTAAAGTTGCCTACTTATCGGTATTTTACGGGATATATCACGGAGAGTGTGCGATGGAATTATACGATTTAATTCCGCCTTCCCCTTTCCATCATCGGGGGACTAGGCGTAGGCTGGGATTCCACCCATATGTTGTGGATATTCCAAAGATTCGCACGAAGCGTTACGCTTTCACATTTATATGGCGAACGGCTATGGAGTGGAATTCCCTGCCTGCAGACTTGTTCCCTGAACATTACAACTAGGACCTTTTCAAGGCGAGAGTGAATAGGCATTGTTTAGGTGTGCATGCTCCATCGTCGACCTCATCGTCACTTTCCATGAGGTGAGATGGAGGTCAAATGCACACTTACATTAGAATAAAAAAGTCACGGAGAGGGTGGCGCTGGTGTAGTTTGTAGCTATTCGTTTAATCAGTCATCTGAAGTGGTCCTATGATACGATAGTTATTGGCAGGGTTGCCATAATTAATAAAATACGGAGTGAAGTTGACGGTCAATGCTTTATAAACGAGCGCATTGTAAAAAAGGAGCTTTTGTTTGAGTTATTTGGAAAGTGAAGAAGTGCCGCCGCTATCAGTAAATTTGCCGCGTGACCTTTAAAATCCGTTTTAATCGGATCCATCGTTTATACTTTTGAACTAATTACTGTGTAAAGCGGATAAACAAATTTATTGCAATCAACTGACGATATTATTTCACCGCCATCTGAATGAATTGATAATGAAGAATGAATAGGTCAATTAGCAAATGATTTCTGACCAAATTGGTTACGAGGGTATTTCTATCCCTTACAGTTTTATTTAGTCTAGTAAAAAACTCGAGTTCGGGAGTCTACATTTATAAACTTGAATCTATTTTTCACGGCTGGGTGGCCTAAAACACTTACCTACCGAGTCGAGTTGAACGCGAGTCATCGGGGCACGGACTCGAGTCCACAAAGAACTCGAGTCGTAAACCCAACAGCGAACAAGCGACTTCTACTCTACTAAGTTTCGAGTACGACAAGCAGGATTCAGTTTTACAGAACAAACACTATGACCCAATAATTAATTTAAAAAAGGAAGATATTATTACTTAATTATATTACAGTTTAACACACCACCTCACAACACCGCTCGGCGCATCATAAATAGACTCGAGCACTAATGTCGAACTCGGTCTATTCGGAAACTCGATAGGCTCGTAATACGTTGATCAGTGGAGTCTCTGTCTTTATAAGTCTAGTCTTATTAATTGGAGTCGAGTCCTAGTACTCCCAGAGTTTTTTACAACACTAGTTTTATTCTTACATATGTATTATATATAAAAGTAGTTAATTGTTGTCGTTGTCTAGCATATAATTTTTATTAATTATAAATTAATATATTTCTGATTCTCAGCCAGAAGACTTGTTATAAACACAGCCTGTATTTAAATGTTTTATCAATTTTCAGATTCAACGAAAAAGCTACAAGATGTACTGAAACAGTTTTGTGAAGTGAAGAAACAAAGTCCTGACGGGGTAAGTTTGTTAATGTATATCTACATAATTTAATCTATAATAAAATTCCAGTATTCATTAAGAAAACAACATTAACACATGTAAAAATGAATTAAGGCGAGGTATTTGAAAGCGAGCCTGCCCCACGCGTCCCGCAATTTCGGGCGGAGAAATTTTGACACAGATCGGACGTTGACAAGCGCCCGATGGCGACTGACGGGGCAGCGAACGGCGCTGCGTGTCGTTAAATTGCTCGGCAATTTTGAAATTTTGGAATAAATGTGAATTTTTAATACTATAGGGCTTCAGTTGAAAAACCAAAATATAGCAAGTTCTCTGTAGTATTTAAAGGGAAATGTCTCCATATGTGCAAAATTAGATATTTTATTCTTATGTAATTTGTTTTACGTTTTATTTGAGCCTGTTTTCGGGATTTTATATGATCGGGTAAAGTACATCCTGTCATTCTTAGACCTATCCTTCGATATATCCTTCTTCTTAGTCGTTATCTTCATTGCTGAAGGTCGGGTCTTCGAAAGGTTTTCGAGACTGGACGATTTTCCTCCATCTGGATTTCTGTCTTCGGTCTCTTTCAGGGCAGTTGTTATAGGGAAGCCAGTGAGGGCGGTCACTTGGTCCCTCCATCATCGGTTAGGCGGTCGACCGCGGAGTCTTTTTCCCTCCACCTTACCCTCTACAACCAGGTTGTCAAGGTTGTCTGACAAATACCTAGACAATTTGACCAAGGAAACCAGTTTTGTCTGCTTCTCCGATGACTCGCCTTAAAACAATATCTGCCTCCGTTGCCGAATGGTTACTATGTTGAGCTGCCACGCAGAGGTCCCGGGTTCAAATCCCGTGTCGGAAGAAATATTTGTATGGTCTACATTAATTTCTCTCGTGAGTTAGGGTGTAATGAAAATGTGAAAATGTGTGACGTTCTACCCGTAAATGCTCTACGCCAGCGGTCTATTGACGTGACGTCACATAGCCCTTTCGACACCACTCGAGCCGCTTCAAAGGACGACTTCGAGTTTAAAATTAAAAACACTTTTCTCTTTGACGCTTTCTATTAATACAGCTAGATATTGAAATCGACGTATAAAAGCTATCTTATGATAAGTGACACAGAGCTCAAATTAAAATTGAAATATAAAGCTTACTGAGCTACCAATATTATGTAACAGCAAACTTCATACAGTAATAAAAAATATTGTCAAATGGCTTTTATAAGTATTCGCTACGTCCGCAATTAAAATGTTACTTATTCTCTTAGGGCGGATTTCCATTATGTCGTGAATTTTTATTTATTGTTGGACGATTGTCGCTTCTGTTTCTCGACTGTCTGTTGTCACTGTTGTGGATTTTTTTTTATCGTTGAACGACAGTCATGTCTCACTGGATCGTGACCATTTTTTTAGCCCCGCACTAGGGAAACCCTGCATCGCGGGTGCCATGGACATACATATAAATAAATATAGGCCATACAAATATTTCTCCCGGCCCGGGGATCGAACCCGGGACCTCGGTGTGGCAGACCAGCTTGATAACCGTTCGGCCACAGAGGCAGTTAATTAATTTAAACGTGTTGTGCTGTATGTGAACAACTCCACTTAAACAAGCCTAGACACATTAAACTCACGTCAACGTGGGAACGCAGCTTTAGTTTTACATGACTACAGCATGAATGATGTCGAAATTCAAATGAAATATATTCATAATATCTATTTGAGAAGCTTTTTGGGATGCTGCTTTTTATGATGTCAAGTGACGGGACGAACAGTCGTGCGCCTGGAGGTAAGCGACACACCTGTCCATAGCTAAGCAATGCCACTCAGAGCTTTTAATCACAAGGATCTGATGGGCCCTGCTAGTGCGTCTGTCACCCTGAGATATTGCAGTACTTTCCTTTGTAAATGTGCGCGTTTATTTATGAATATCTTAGCATAGATTACTTAACAGTTACTACGTAACAGATACGTCACTCGCATACAAAATCGAAAACACCTACGCTGTAATAGCTTACTAAATCTGACTAATATAATGAATAACGTTGCCTGCGGTGTGCAGTCATGCGGAACCGAATTCTGGGGACGTACAAGGATTGTAATGTAAATAAAAGACTTATTTGAGCGCATGCACTGTCGGCGATATACTCAGCGGCAGGCATTTATCGCATAGCGAGTGACAAAGCCCTGGGGGCCTTAGTGCAAGTTTTTAACCATAGAAACTTAACTATCGCATAATTTAAACCTCATAAACATATTAAGATTTAAATAAAAATCCTAACGCAAACTCTGTAGTTAAGTTTGAATTATTACAAATTTTCACTCGGGCATCTGTTCACGGGTAGAAACAGCCTCGTGGAGATAAATGGATATTCTACGAAATGGGTAGAGAGAGTATTTTTAACTGAACTTCTGGGAATTGATATAGCGCTCAGAAATTCTGGAATTTACTGTATTTTGTAATATATTTTTGATATAATAGTAGTAATCACCGTAATCATGTTATGTATCCAGATTTGCGAACACCAACGTCAGAACAACATCAGTTGAACGAGACGTGCGCCTGGTGGTAAGCGACACGCCTGTCCATAGCAGTTGTTGTGCCACTCACATCGAGCTTTAAAAAGCAATGATCTGGGCGGCATTGCTACTACGTCCATCACTCTGATACATTAGATGACAAGTCCCATATGTCTGTAATTTCACCACCACCTTTTTCTTCAAAACCGGAACGTCGTTAGAACGTCATAACATTAACAATCTAGACTTTTTTTTTGCAAAACATTGCTGTTAGAGCGTTTGCGACCTACGTCCGACTCGTACCAGTTCCGAGTCCGAGAAATGATGGTCCGAAATTTCAATTCAATTCAATTCAAATATTTATTTCAGATAAAATCCATATAGAGTTAGTAAACCAAACGACTTAAGAACTAGTGTTAGTATTAATATTATTTAAAAGACTACTTATACATTTAAGATAGTGTGGAGCTCTATCCACCTACGCAGGAGTGGCGAGTCCCACCGATCTTTAAACACACACAGGATGCCGTTGGAGCTATCACGGAGGCGCCTTAGCGCAGATGCACACCTTTTCCTCACGATGGCCATGAAACCGTCCATCTGAGCCTCGGCAAACATCCCCGATGCACTACACCTCCACGGAAGCCCCGAAATGTTACAGGGATCATTTTATCTCTAGGTGTACAAGCGATCCCTAGGTGTACACGCGATCCCTAGGTGTACAAGCGATCCCTAAGTGTACAAGCGATACTCGTATTTTCACAGACGAGACACACACGACATCAGAAGTGGGTCCGAGTTTTTTAGATTTGTATAACCTCGGATTCGGAATGAATACGCATTATATTTCTAAAACGCGATATTAAGATTTTCCCTCGGCACTGTAAGTAGCTTAGCAAAGAATGTATTGTTGATTCTGAATTCAATGTGTGTAAGGCACACTCCGGACCATATTGGATATTTACTGCGTGCGGACTATGTACGAGCATATACCGGATCTCCCGTTACGCCTTTTGTGTACTGCCACCAACAAAGTACCTCTACGAAAAGCTTACGATTTCTCAACAGAAAGTGCGATTTGCAGTTCGTCTTATGTGTCCTTCCCACCGCACGACTGCCTTTCGTGGCAGTTTCCGATTTGCTGCCACAAAATGTTGGAACGATATACCACCACCAATACGAAATTCCAAATCTGTTGCCTCTTTTAAATTAGCCTATAAGAAGTTTTTATTATCAACTCAATTATAATCTCATTACATAAGGTAGTCATGCATTGCTTGCAAAGTTCTTAAAAAGTGATCAGAGCCAATTTGTACAATGTGTTAACACTAATCACCTCACTTACACTACGTATACTCACCTCACTTACACTACGTATACTCACCTCACTTACACTACATTATAATCACATTTTTGGTATTTATTTCATTTTTATTATTATGTATCTATGTCAGGATTAGTTTATGGTTTTGTTTAATATTTTAGTTTAGTTTTGATTTATATTTGTAATTAAGTTTTATACCTAATCTTTATATTTCTTTTTTGTTTTATTTTTATCTTACCGCCTGCTTGGACGAGGCGCCATCTTTCTTTTTGTCCATTTATGGTGCCACTGAAAACCAGCGTAATGAGGCGTTCTTCACCGTCTCATTACACAAAGCTGAGTGGTGACCGTTTTGGTAACATATAATGTATGATTGTGTTTGTTTTGTATTATTCATTGTAACATGTTGCCAAATAAATTATTTTTCTTTCTTTCTTTCTTTCTTTCAAAGTACCGCTTATTTGTTTATTAAGTGCGTTTTCCTTCACTGACGAAACGAGCCTTTGCCACGTCCTCCAGAACCCCGTTACACAATCTAAATATAACTTATTTTCTAAAATTAACATTATATTATTTTAAACAGAGAACGCGTCGCTAACAATTACATTCTTGCATAATCTAACGACAAAGACTACAACGGCTATTTAAACTTTTAAAACTGGCAACCCTGCAAATGTCATTTTACTACCTACGTCTTCAAAAGAGACAGACTATATTGTCTGTATTTTCTCGTCTTTACCTCTACTATGTCTGGCCCATATAATTAGCAATGCCTCTCTCTATCTATTAAATGTTACAAGAAGATTCACAACATCATCGATCCACCTTGTGGGTGGTCTTCCCACACTATGTCTTCCGGTACACGGTTGCCACTTAAGATCTGTTTAGCTCTAGTGGCTATATATTCTGCGAACAATGTGCCCCGCCCACTGCCATCTAAAGCGCGAAACATACTGTGTACTATATTATGGTGCGGATCGGGCGCGTGTCGGGTCGGGGCGGGAACACGGCGGGTCTAATTCCATGTATGCTAATGGACGGCAATTCACTCGTGCGCCCGCGCGTGGAGCCCGACCCCGTTTCTGCATGTTTCACGCTTAAATTTTGCAATCCTTCGAGCTATGTCGATTTTTTTTTCGCGGATATCCTCATTTCTGACATAACCTCGC